GAATTTTTTATAATTCGCTTACAATTCTGTCCATTACTTAAATGAACTACACTGGTGTAATTAAATTATGAATATGTAGAAACAGGTATGTAGCTAAGGAGATATATAAGAAAATAGCATGGATAGAGAGAGAGAGAGAGAAAGAGAGAGAGAGAGAGAGAGAGAGAGAGAGAGAGAGAGAGAGAGAGAGAGAGAGAGAGAGAGAGAGAGAGAGAGAGAGAGAGAGAGAGAGAGAGAGAGGGAGTGAGAGAGAGAGAGAATGAAAGAGATAGATAGATAGATAGAGATAGAGAGAGAGAGAGAGAGAAAGAGAGAGAGAGAATGAAAGAGATAGATAGATAGATAGATAGAGAGAGAGAGAGAGAGAGAGAGAGAGAGAGAGAGAGAGAGAGAGAGAGAGAGAGAGAGAGAGAGAGAGAATGAAAGAGATAGATAGATAGATATATAGATAGATAGATAGAGAGAGAACGAGAGAGAGAGAGAGAGAGAGAGAGAGAGAGAGAGAGAGAGAGAGAGAGAGAGAGAGAGAGAGAGAGAGAGAGAGAGAGAGAGAGAGAGAGAGAGAGAATGAAATAGATAGATAGATAGATAGATAGAGAAAGAAAGAGAGAGACAGACACAGACACACAATCAGAATCAGCCAAACACTATCAACAACAATACTAAACATTGAAGTATTAATCACTGATATCAATACATGTTACGTAGTATCAAAACGGATGTAGAAATGTAAATGAGCGAAAGAGAAAACAAGACACAATATGAAAAGCAAACTAATAGTAAAATGCATGATATCGTAGGCCTATTGGTGAAAAAATACATGTAGTAATGATATAAGAGACATTCATTACGTATAGTAAAGTACAGATAGAAATACAAAGACACAAGGACACATGGAAGAAAAAAAATGAAACAAATGAAGTAAAAACAGACATTATAAATAACATATTGAGATAATAAGTAATATTTCAGTGAACGTTTTAAAAGAAGACAGATCAGCATAGTTATGTACATTTTTCAGGAAGAGTAATAAACCTGATTTTATCACTGCAGCAAGCATATTATTGCCTCTTAAGGGATATCTGTCATTAATGAATTCATTTTATAATAGAAAAGGTCCTTGCTCTGAGAGTTTAGGCTTTTGAAAACAAACCGTGTACTTTAGTGTTTATTCCATCGACTTAAATAAAAAAAGAAATAGGAAAGCCTGATGTGTGTGATCATTTCTTCTAAGTTCCAAGACACTACTGATAATTCCTTTTTGAGTTACATGTAAGGGTTTAAGTGAGGCAGAACATGAAGCTTCCCCCTATATAATCTGCCCTTATTTAAAATGTGGGTATACCAATGTATAGTATATACGTTGCAGGGCTTTCAGGGGTAATGTTTTACGTGGTGAGTACGTCCACATAGCTTATTAAATTTTGATACTACATTTTTTATGTGTGTTTTTTAGTTTAACTGAAAATCATTGTGAATGGCGAGGAACTTGTGTGTGTATAACCCTTTTAATTGGAATATTTGGGATGGCGACGTGAGAGAGAACAGGAAAATGTATTCGTTTCTTTGGAAAATGATATAACGTGTCTTTTCAGCGTTCAGAGTTAGCTTATTTAGAATTATTCATCTTATATATGACATATCACTCTTCGTAGCGTTGATTAATTCTACGAGAGAGTTTCCAGCAGTATAACAGCAAGTATCATCGCCATAGAGTGTGAAGTAGAGAAACATTGACTCTGTTATTGATATATTGAAGGAAGCGAATGGTGGCTCTATTATTGATATATTGCAGGGAGAGAATGGGCCCCAAGACAGAGCCCTGTGGAACTCAATAATTCTTTTAGAGGAGTCACAGCCGTTGAAAACTTCATACTGTATGCGGTTTGACAGATACGATGCCCAACAAATATGTTTATTCCCTTTAATACCGTAATGGTGGTTAACAGTATCAAATGCTTTACAAAAGTCTAAAAATGCAGCAAGAATTAATTTATGATCCTCACAAGATTTTAAAGCTTTATTTATGAAGTCTGAGACCGGTAATGCAGATGATATGTTCTTCAAGAAACCAAGCTGACAGCTGTTAATTATATAATTTTCATAAGGAAAGTCAATTAATCTGATGTACATTATTTTTTTTTCTTATTTTTTTTTTTACTAAATGCTGTTTGAATAGAAATAGGACGGAAATGATTTTGACAATAGGTGCCAATATTGAACAAAGTCTAAACATATAACATATAAACATAATTTTTTTTTTATTGAATTTCCCCCCATACTGAATGACTTAGTAATAAAATATATTAGTGATATAAGAATGCTAGGAAGTATTTTCTTGATTATGTTAAAAGGAATGCAATCGTCACCAGGAGGAGAGGTTTTAAGTTCATTAACACCATTAATAACTGCCTGTTGCTGGAATGAGATTCATGTAGTTGTTACTGGAGGTCCCGAGAAATCCGTTAAAGTCTCCTTCTGCGGATTAACCGTAAATGGT